ATTGCGAACCTGTTAACCACCTAACCGCCGTGGATAGGTCGACCACTACCCTCTACCGCTAACCTAACCCCTACTACCTACACCTACCCTACTACACACATCATCCTCTATTCCGTTCTACCCCTATCCCGCACTCACCCTAACACACTATCCCCTATCCCGTTCTACCCCGCACTCACCCTAACACACTATCCCTATCCCGTTCTACCCCTACCGCACTCACCTAACACACTATCCCCTATCCCGTTCTACACTATCCCGCGCACTCACCCTAACACACTATCCCCTATCCCGTTCTACCCCTATCCCCGCACTCACCCTAACACACTATCCCCTATCCCGTTCTACCTACCCTATCCCTATCCCCGCACTCACCCTAACACACAGATCGGGCTATGCGAAATCATCAATTACAATACAATACAAATCATATAATTTCATATCAATTTCTCCGTTACCATCACATGACTCCATCAAACGCTCACCTGATTCATACTCACATGATCAATACAATCACTTTCATATATAACTTGTCTTATTCCATACAAATTTCACTTGCCATCAAATCACATGCATCGTCACCTGATCTGTTACCTGATTCATCCTCGTCTACATCATACGATCATTTTTCACTATACAACATGGGTGCCACCCTCTCTCCTTCACCCAATACGGGTCATCGCAAAAACGTGGGAAACGGCCGCATGTTAACATTTATTCACCTAGATTGCGCTTGATTCCTCCATTTGGTATAAGCAACCATGTGGGAATCATCAAAACTGCCGCCTACAGAGAGGAAACGGTCCTAATGACCATTCGGCAGAGCCATCTAATAGTAGAAGATGGCGGTGAGGAAAAGAAGATGATTGAGAAAAAGAAGACAAAAAGAAGGCAGCGGTGAACAAAAGAAGATGAAAAGAAGATGGCGGTGAAGAAAAGAAGATGAAAAGAAGATGGCGGTAAAGAAAAGAAAATGAAAAGAAGATGGCGGTGAAGAAAAGAAGATGAAAAGAAGATGGCAGTAAAGAAAAGAAGATGAAAAGAAGATGGCGGTAAGAAAAAGAAGATGAAAAGAAGATGGCGGTAAGAAAAAGAAGACAAAAAGAAGATGGCGGTAAGAAAAAGAAGACAAAAAGAAGATGGCGGTAAGAAAAAGAAGACAAAAAGAAGATGGCGGTAAGAAAAAGAAGACAAAAAGAAGATGGCGGTAAGAAAAAGAAGACGAAAAGAAGATGGCGGTAAGGAAAAGAAGACGAAAAGAAGATAAGAAGACGGAAAGAAGATGGCGGTGAGGAAAAGAAGACGAAAAGAAGATGGCGGTGAGGAAAAGAAGACAAAAAGAAGATGGCGGTGAGGAAAAGAAGACAAAAAGAAGATAAGAAGACAAAAAGAAGATGAAAAGAAGATGTGGAAAGCAAGCTTGCTTTCCGGGTGTAATATGGATAGGTATAGAAGAGAAAGACAGGCTCATTCCGGGCACTGCACTGCCACATTAGGGTACTTTGTGAGCTGATTCCACTCCGGACTCACCCTAGGAGCATTTTTCATCTCATAACTTAGGTACCCCAACCACTCCTTCTCAAGAAATTTCAAAAGCGTGGGAATAAGGGCCCAGTCAAAGCTGATTCCCTTCCGCATTTGGAATACCTTTAAAATAGTATAAGGACATTTGCTGTTTCGTTAAGATTTGAGCCCTACATGACTGTGAAAAGCAACATTGGCCAATGTGAAGTGTGGCAGTGTAAACCCTAACCCTAAATAGGGCCACCCTTGTGGCTGTGTCAACCCTACGCCTTAGTTATATGGGGCCCTATGGCCCTATGGCTCTATGCAGGATTTTCACTTATAGTATCAATCTGATGCAAAATCTGTCAGGGTGATCAAACTACACATTTGGGGCTGTGAATATGACATATAGCTACAACATTCCCACTCACATGATATCCTCATTTCCTTTTTTGGCAGAGCCCTGATTATTTTAAGTATTTTCCGACTTAATTAATCTTTTTTTCTATAGCGTGGGAAATAAAGCCAGGGCCATCAAGGGCTGGGTCATGGCTCATAGATAGGACCCTGAACTTCACCTTTCTCACTTACACCTAGTCACCAATCGTAAAATTGCCTGCTCTATTCCCAATTGATCCTAAAACAAGGCAGGATGTTCATATTTCCGGTCCTCATATGAGTAGTCTCGAATTATTCCTTGGATCAGGAACATGAAAAACTTACGCCCACTGTTCGATATTCGCCAACGCATGCAACATCACCGCCCTATTCTTCCTCTT